TCAAATTCATAAATTTTATTTAATTCCAAATTAATGATGATTCATTTTAATTATCTATAGAATAATGGATGCTAAATATAATATTATTGGCTTATAGGTATGTATTGAAATTCATTATTATGAGACATTTCTGGATCACGCAAAGGTTGATTAATTGTTCTTATAATCAATGAGAATAATTGTAAATAATTTGTATGTGCCATTAATATATTTATATACCCAAAGGTAGTAGATATTTCTAATTGGTACATGTTTTATTGCCAATTCATTGTGTATTGTTAGCATCATTAAATGTCATGTATTCTAATGTATCACCCAAAGGAAAACATTAGTATGCATTTAATATTAAAATGCTTTGTGTGTGTAGTGTGTGTATTTATGTCTCAAAACACTTATGTATGTTTTAATTATGCAGTAAATGTTCCCAATATTCTGCACTCTAGCATTTCGTCTGTGCCAATTTTTAATGGGCTTAACTTCTCTAACTAGAGTGAACAAGTTCAATTTCATCTTGGTGTTTTGAACCTTGATCTTGCTCTTCAGGAAGAGAAGCCTACTGATATTACTAATACTAGCAGCAATGAAGAAAAGACCCATTATAAAGCTTGGGAAAGATCAAACAGACTTAGCCTGATGTTCATGCGAATGAGTGTAGCAAAAAATATAAGGACCGTTCTTCCCAAAACTGAAAGTGCGAAACAATTTATGAAAAATATGGAAGAGCGCTCCCAAACTGCTGACAAGTCTCTTGCTGGGACATTAATGAGTACACTAACCAACATGAGGTTTGATGGTTTGCGTACTATGCATGAGCATGTCATTGAAATGATGAACATTGCTGCAAGGCTTTAGTCTTTAGGCATGATTGTGGATGAAAGCTTCCTCGGTCAGTTTGTTCTTAACTCATTACCGACTGAGTATGGGCCATTTCAAGTGAAATATAATGCCATGAAAGATAAATGGAATGTACATGAATTGCACAGTATGTTAGTTCAGGAGGAAATACGGCTAAAGAATCAAGGAAATCATTCAGTCCATTACGTGAGCCATAAAGGACATCAAGGAGTTGGAAAGAAGGTTGTAAAGAAGCATGATAAGGGCAAAGGGCTATTGAAGATTAATGAGGCCTCTACACAAATCCAGAAGAATAATGATAAAGATAAATGTCGTTTTTGTGGAAAATCTGGTCATTTCCAGAAGAATTGCCTAAAACAGAAAGCTTAGTTTGAGAAAAAGGGTAAGCTCAATGCTTATGTATGTTATGAATCAAACTTAACTGAAATTTCACATAATACTTGGTGGATTGATTCTAGATGTATAACTCATGTTTCTAATACAATGCAGGGATTCCATTCGATCCAAGCCATAAACCCAAATGAAAGGTTCGTGTTTATGGGGAATAGAGTGAAAGCTCCAGTGGAAGCTGTCGGGACTTATCGCTTGATTCTTGACACTGGACATCATTTAGATTTAGTCGAAACTCTTTATGTACCTAATATATCTAGGAATTTAGTTTCATTATCTAAACTTGATGTTACTGGATACTCTTTTAATTTTAGAAATGGATGTTTTAGTTTATTTAAACATAATTATGTCATTGGTACTGGTACTATTTGTGATGGTTTATATAAATTAAATTTAGATGGTTTGTATGCTAAAACTCTCTTAACTCTACATCATAGCATTGGCACTAAACGTAGTTTAGTGAATGAACGTTCCACTTACTTGTGGCATAGACGTTTAGGCCATATATCCAGGGAAAGAATGGAAAGACTAGTAAGACGTGGAGTCCTTCCAGACTTGGATTTTACTGACCTAAATATTTGTGTGGATTGTATAAAAGGAAAGCAAACAAAACACCAAAGAAAGGAGCCACAAGAAGTAACCAGCTTCTTGAAGTTGTGCACACTGATATTTGTGGACCTTTTGATGTTAATTCTTTCGAAAAAGAGAGATCCTTTATTGCTTTTATTGATGACTATTCCCGTTATGGTTATGTCTATTTGCTGCATGAGAAATCTCAAGCAATGGATGCCTTGAAAATTTACTTGAATGAAGTGGAAAGGCAATCAGACAAAAGGGTGAAAGTTGTTAGGTCTGATAGAGATGGTGAGTATTACGGAAAGTATGATGAAACTGGACAACATCCAGGTCCATTTGCTAAACTCCTTGAGAAACGTGGTATTTGTGCTCAATACACAATGCCGGGTACACCACAACAAAACGGTGTATCGGAAAGGCGTAATAGAACATTAATGCATATGGTTAGGAGCATGTTAAGCAATTCTTCTTTACCCTTATCTTTGTGGATGTATGCCTTGAAAACTGCTATGTATCTGTTAAACAGGGTTCCTAGTAAGGCTGTTCCAAAGACACCTTTTGAACTTTGGACTGGTAGGGCTCCTAGTTTGAGGCACCTGCATGTTTGGGGTTGCCAAGCAGAAATAAGGGTTTATAATCCACAAGAAAAGAAACTGGATGCAAGAACTATCAGTGGTTATTTCATTAGTTATCCAAAAAAGTCCAAGGGGTTTAGATTTTATTGCCCTAATCATAGTACAAGAATTGTTGAAACTGGAAATGTTAGGTTCATTGAAAATGGTGAAATCAGTGGGAGTACAGATCCACAAAATGTGAGAATTAAAGAAGATAGAGTACAGGTTCCTGTGACTTGTGTTTCTAACAGTAGAGTTGTTGCTCCTCTTATTGTTACACCACAACATAATGAAGAAGAGCAACATAACACTGAACCAGTGATTCAAAATGAACCTATTGTAGAAGAACCACAAGAAATAGCATTAAAGAGGTCTCAAAGAGAAAGAAGACCTGCTATTCCAAATGATTATGTGGTATATCTACAAGAGTCAGAAGCTGACTTAAGCATTAATGATAATGATCCAGTTTCGTTCTCACAAGCCATAAGTTGTGATAATTCTAATAAATGGTTAGATGCCATGAAAGAAGAGTTAGAATCCATGGAACAGAATGGTGTTTGGGACTTTGTAAAATTGCCAGAAGGTTGTAAGAGAATTGGTTGTAAGTGGGTCTTCAAGACCAAACGTGATTCTCATGGTAATCTTGAATGTTACAAGGTCAGACTTGTTGCTAAGGGTTTTACTCAAAAGGATGGCATTGACTATAAAGAGACATTTTCACCTGTCTCACGAAAGGATTCCTTTAGGATTATCATGTCACTGGTGGCCCATTATGACTTGGAATTACACCAGATGAATGTAAAAACTGCCTTTCTCAATGGAGATTTAGAAGAAAGTGTTTATATGAATCAACTAATGAGATTCTTAGTTGAAGGAAAGGAACATATGGTGTGCAAATTAAAGAAGTCAATATACAGACTCAAGCAAGCTTCTCGTCAATGGTATCTAAAGTTCAACGATACCGTTGTATCCTTTGGATTTAAGGAAAATATTGTTGATTGGTGTATATATCTAAAGGTCAGTGGGAGTAAGTTCATATTTCTAGTTCTGTATGTTGATGATATCTTGCTTGCAGCTAATGATCTTGGTCTTTTATATGAGACTAAGAAGTTTTTTTCTAGTAACTTTGAAATGAAAGATATGGGTGAGGCAAGTTATGTGATAGGGATAGAAATATTTCGTAACAGATCACAAGGACTATTAGGTTTGTCTCAGAAAACATATATCAATACAGTACTAGAGAGATTCAAAATGGAAAAGTGTTCAGCATCACCTGTTCTAATTCAGAAAGGAGACAAATTTAGTCTCGCACAATGTCCCAAGAATGATTTGGAGCGGAAACAGATGGAAACAATTCTATATGCATCTGTTGTTGGGAGTATTATGTATGCTTAGACCTGTACTAGGTCAGATATAAGCTTTGCAGTTGGGATGTTGGGAAGATACCAGAGTAATCCTGGATTGGATCACTGGAAAGCTGCGAAGAAGGTTCTGAGATACCTATAGGGAACAAAAGAACACATGCTTACATATAGAAGATCTGATCACCTTGAAGTGATTGGGTATTCAGATTCAGATTTTGCTGGATGTGTGGATACAAGAAATTCCACTCTTGACTATGTGTTTCTTTTAGCTAGAGGAGCGGTATCATGGAAGAGTGCAAAGCAATCAGTTGTTGCTGCATCTACCATGGAAGCTGAGTTTGTAGCATGTTTTGAGACTACAGTTCAGGCTAACTGGCTGCGGAACTTTATTTCAAGACTTAAAATAGTCGACAGTATTGCCAGGCTGCTAAAAATTTATTGTGATAATTCTGCAGCAGTGTTTTTCTCTAAGAACGATAAGTACTCTAAGGATGCTAAGCATATGGAGCTTAAGTACTTTTCTGTGAAAGATGAAGTACAGAAACATAGAGTATCAATAGAACATATTAGCACAAACCTTATGATAGCTGATCTTCTGACAAAAAGGTTGCCGCCCAAGACATTTATTGAGCATGTTGAAAATATGGGCATTATTGTTTACGATGATTGTTAGATGTAATGATTACATTTTATGTATTATGCACTTGATACTCTGAGCTCACTTATGGATATGTTTCTGATTACCTGTTTTCTTATATGCATGCATGATTGTATTGTAATGATGTAAATAGATATCGTCTTGAATCAAGATATTATGTTTGACGAATTTTGTACTTCTCACTTACTGATCATATTAAGGAGAAGACTAATTTTATAGTACATTGAAAGAAATATATCGATTAAAGTGGTGTACAACTTTCAAGACTCAAATTAATTCTTATTCTTAATTATAATTTATAATATACTCAATATATAAAATAATTTAATCATGATAATGCGCATTATGATAATTTAATTTTTTATTTATTAAACTATGATATTAGATAATGTCACATGAGTTAAATAATTATATACCTTTTATTTCAAGTTTCAAATAATGATGATATTTCAAGATATTTCAAGGTCCAAATAATTTATATACTTTTTATCGTAGGTAGTATGCCGTCATTTATGTCTTATGACTGACTAGAGTCTGAGACCATTTCTTCGTTGCTACCAGCTCGGCTCATGCCGTTCAAACCCATCTTCTGTGCTTCATTTCTGTCTTCATAGTTCCCGCCATTTTTTTCATAATTATGAAGGTTCGTTGAGAAACCCTAGTTTTTTCTTTCTCTAATAATTTGGTACTAACTCTAATAGCTGGTGAAGCATAATCTTAATTGCAATGGCCTTTGAAGATTTTGAACCCATCTTTCGTGAACCCAAAGTGGAGAGGCCGTCTCAAAGTTCATGTCCTTTAGGTCCCTTTTTGATCCACGCCTTTGCTCTTCATTCTCATTCTCCTCATATTGTAATTCGTGTCACCGATTTCGTCGCTGACGCTTGGGAAGCGCGTCTCTCACTCTCCATGCTTGAGGACATTGTGAGCATTCTCATTCACCTTCTCTTGCTTTATTCTGTGTTTATGAAAGAAATATGAGTCCTAGTGTTGGTTTCAAACAAACGGTGAATGGAGATTTCTTTTTTGGTTGCAATTGCGTAGTGTTACCTCCTGATGATTCAGTTTGATTGAGAGGTTGAATTGAATAAAACTCAATTGTTTTTTTTTTTTTTTGAAATATTTGCTTTATTGCAAAAATGTGAAACGTTAAAGTTATGTTGTTATTGATCCTGAATATGAAATAAATTTTTCTTCTTCTTCCATATTATGTTAGTTTGCTTAAATTTTGTGTTTGATCATTGTTTTTATAATTTTGTTCACAATAACTGTCGTCTTTTGACCTTTTTGTGCAGAGGGACAGTGTTGGAATAGGGGGCTCGTGGTCAGAGTTTGCTGATTATTTTGTAACGTCCCTCAAGTCAGAAGATCTGAAGCTGATTCTAGAGGCAAATTCCAATTCTGATGGTAATTAGTACTATGCTTACTTCTACTCTTTGATTATATCCTTTGAGAGTTTTCAAATAGAAGTATCATAGGATATATGTGTTATTTTGATGGAAATTTAATTGCTGGTGTGTGTACCATCTTCTTTGTTTCTGATTTTAGTGCTTCCGTGAATCCCTGTAGATACTGGTCAATAAAGGATTTAACTTTTTTGGTGGCCAGAGTATATGATTTAACAATATATATATATATATATGGGTAATGATCTTAAACTCAATTTGAACCTTTCATTTAACTTAAATCTAAATCTAATGGCCATTGAAGTAACAAATTATATATATATATAGTTAACCTTCCGTGAAGTTTAAATAAGAAACATGAATAGAATGAGTTGAATTAATTAAATTTGTATCATCATTAAAGAAATTTGTGATCTTATGTTCAAATATGATGTCAAATAGGTTGGATTTATGTTATGTAAGTGCAGGATACACCTCCCTATATTTACAATGCATAACTAAACCCTTTGTGACTGTTCTCTGATGTATGAGATAAAGAATTCCATATTATTAATTTTTTTTGAGGAGTTATGTTGAAGGAGCATACTCATTGGTCACTTGTATCTGTTTTTTGTGTTTTGCATTTCAGATGTTAGTCATGCAAAATTAGTAGCTCAGAGATCAAAAGGGATGCCTTTGATCACCATTCCTCTTACCAAACTTGTGGATTCCACTGCTATTAAAGTTAGGTCAAATGTTGCCTTTAGCCTCTTTGAGGCAATGAGAAGCAAAGAGTGCTCTCTGGTGAAAGGTTTGATCATCCTCTTCTTGCAGCAATCTTTTGAATCTGAAGTTAGGTCTTATTTTTGTGTGGTTCTTTCTAACCATGTTTATAAATGATAAATGTATTATGTTGGATGATAATTATACTATGTTGAAATTTAAGGAATTTGACGGTGAAAGCTCATTGGTTTTTAAAAAATAACATTTTATTTGTATAGTTGTCATTCTGAAATTTATTCTTGATCATTGAACAAACTATTGCTGTAAAATGTTCTAACATATCTTTGTTGTATGCTGGAACTAACTGTACTTTTATTTATTGTGTTTTCAGAACAAGAGCACTCTGTTGAGTTGACAAACATGTTAGCAGCTGAAAAGGTATAATAACCAAATTGTGTCAAATTATTACATCACAGGGGATATGTTATGATTTTTTGATTGATTTCTCAGATCATATTTTTTGGTTTGGTTTGGTAGGAATCGATTTAGCATTCCTACTTTACAGCAGTGTCAAAAGTTATATTGGAAACTTCTGAACTAATAATGGCTGAATATTATGTGCTTCTCATTCTTTTAGTGTGGGATTCACTGTTATATTCTGAAGGCCTTATGAATTATGCAGTATGATATGGTTCTTCTCTTATTTTCACAGACTAATTATGGGGTTTTCTTTGGTCAAACAGCAATTATGCCTGAATGATTTCTATCGAAAACTTTGGCTATATTTCACCTTTAAGATACCCTCAGAATTTGAAGTTAATTAGATAAGTTTTTATTCTTATACGTTTGGGATGGAAAGTTAACTTTCATCCATTTGCTGCTATAATAAGTTGGTAAGATTAGCTCTTTTTCCCCTTAATAATTGTCAGCTTATTATGAGCACTCTGTCTACCTGCCAGGAAAGAAATGAAACCATACAACTGGAACAGCGGCAGAAGTTTCAAAAGCTTTGTGGCCCAGAAAAAGGTGTTTCTAATGATGGATTGCAAAACTCTCCAGGTGTGTTATATACTGTCATTCTGGAAAGTCAGTCTTTTGCTGATAAAGTTGTTCCAAAATTGTTATCTGGGTTGAAGGTTTTACGGACTTGTCTGTTGTAGTGTGGTACACATGGTGAGTCTGTTTGTAAATATTGGAAAAAAAATGTGTCAAGGGTGACTATGTTAATTATTTGAATTATTGGATCTATTTTAACCTGAAAGAAAAAGAGAAGAGATGCAAGTGCTAGCCCCATTTTGAATATTCTGGAATATGAAAGATCTTTTGTTTATGTTTTACTGTTCGTTGTACAAGATGCTTTTGGCTTTTATTCATCATCCCTTGGATTTATTCAACCTTGGGTTAATGAAAAAACTTGTTTTTCACTATCCTGTTCACTTGCAGATAAGCAAGCTGCTTGGGATACAGGTTCTACAAAGATCAAGAATCGTGCGATGCCAGCATATCGCAGGCAAGTGTTCTTTTTCTGTCTTATTAACCTTAATTCTAGTACTACCGCTATTATCATCGTATACTCATTCTCCTTTTTCTCCCGGGCAGGACCAAAGTAAGAGGGGCCCTCTTGCATGATAGTGATAAATGAGTTATAACCCAGCTCTCATTGAAATCAGTTGCTTGGTAGGAAGTGAAAATATTGTGTTGACAATATATATACTTTTTATTTATTTTCACTCCCTTACTTTGTATTGATGTAAAGCATATATATTAGTAAGATGAGTCACATAAATTTTCAGCAATTTATTCACTTTTTAAATATGCAAATGAAAATTGTTCATTTGATGCACTATTGCCCTTCCCCATTTAACCTTCATTTAAGGGTTCTTTCTGTATTTCAAAATGTTAATATGGTTCTTTCGCATTAAATGGTTAATGATGTAATTATTGAGTAACACCAAGTACTCCCCAATAGCATTTTGGAGTTATATGTTAGGACATTAGGATTTGGCAATCAACAAAGTGGTGGTCCCCTGGCTCATCAAATTTGTGGCTGAAATTTCATAATGCTCCAGAACGAATCAAAATCTTCAATAACTGTGTAATTTGACAAGACTTCAATTTTCATCTGTCTTTAGGTCCATTGTATTTCAGATATTTTTACTGGTTGGTAGAGGGGGAAATGTGATGGGAGACTGAGCAGGAAACAAATGAGGCAATATGTGTTAGTGTGCATGTTTTCAACTTTTCACGGTTAAAGATAAAAGACATCCCACAAAGGAGAAAATGTAATTATTTTGTGAATTCTTACAGAAAAGATAAGCAAGTTAGCTACGAGACATTTGACGATGAAGAAACTTAGGAGTGTTAAAATGGGACTGGCCTAATTGGTGGGTCAATGATAGGTTGGGACAGATTGGTGCGTTGGGCTTAAATTTTATTTTTAAAAGTAAAAAATAATTAAATATTAATTTTTATTAATATAAAAATATTTTTAAATGTTTTTTTATTATTTTATTGTAACTTCTTTTATTTATTTATTTGTTAATTTTCAGTAGGTTAGTTTATTAATCTAGTGACCTATGAATTTTTTTTATAAATTTTTTGCGGGTTGGCCCGTTAGCTTATCAGTCTACTGTTGAATGAGATAGACTTAAAAATCTGGCCTATTTTTTAAAAGGAACAGGCTTATGTTAGTTCAGTTTTAGGTGGGCTTTTAGTGGGACGAGCTGGCCCGTTTTGCCGCTCCTAATGAAAGTTACACGGGAGGTTGAATCTAAACCAGTCCTACGTTATAAGGTAAGGGGTTTTGGTCAATGATTAAATCTGATTATCCTTTCTTTTCTTAAAATTTGGAAAAAGGGTGGAAATTCATGATAAGTTAGTCCAAACTTCTGTTGTTTAGGTGAGGGTGATGTGCACAACTAAGCTGCAGAATCTGGAAGGAAATCTTCTTTTGTAGGTACTATCGGCCTTCAATGCAGCAAAGGTCATTCTTCCTATCTGCTTACTTGCTGTTAAAAATGGGATTCAATGGTGTTGATAATAGCTCTGCTTGATTGCCAGAACAATGAGTTTTAGTTTTTTGGTGTCAAACCAGAACAATAAGTTGAGTGCTACTAATTTACAGAATGGATGCATCTCGGGATCATTAGGGCACTTGGGCATAAACATTCACTAATTGAGAAATGTTAATAATATTTTGTTTAACACATTTTTTTTAACTAAAATTATGTTTTCGCCTCATAATTTTGTGTTTCTAAACAAATAATACATTAGAATGGGTATGCTAGAGAACATTAGTAGCACTCTTCGTGCGGATTTTACTTAATTTACAAATAATGATAGGGAATATGGGATTCATAAGCAGAGGATAATTCTGTGTTTATCAATTGTTTTGCGTTGTACTGATTTTAATACTCAATTACTTTGCTCCCACAAAATACTCTGTTTCTTTATACCTGGTTATAGAGTTCTAATTGAAATTAGACCTGCTAAGCAAGCCTGGCGTGAAGTTCAAAAGTTTTAGCATAATTCCATGTTCATTGTTCATTTTCAGAAGTAAGCTAGTTGATTAGGACATGGAAAATTATGAAGAAATAAGGAATCTAGATATGGTCGAGAAAGACAATGGTGTGAATTAAGTAATCATGTAAAGCAAAAACCAACATAATATCGTGTTAGTACAATTTGTTGGCAATGACCGAACCTATAATTCTTTATACTTTTTTTGTTGATAATATCTTCATTGGTTGCTATCAGAAGTAAAATCCAAGACATGTGAACCAGAGAGAGAGAGAGTCACCATAGGCTCTAGTCGGTGACAGCCCTGCATCTGTATCTAAGAATAACATAAGAAATGAACCTGTAAAGCAAGATGAAGCAAACCGTGACCCCAACATTCTTCCATCTACTACTCTCACCCCCAAAACCTTCTTCTTTAAGCACATCCTCTCCGCTCTTCACACATGCCCCAAACAAGTACTCCAAGCACTTTCCCGAGTTGGAGAACTCATTGATCAGGAACCCTTCAAACGGATACTTAAACAGTGATATATAATGCATGAATATCCAGTAATTTGGAATCTCCTGCTTTGATATGAAGTATCCAGAAAACAAGAAGAACGACCCTATAACACCAGCAATCACTGAATTTCCAACAATGAAATTAGGCACCAAAGCACTGAAACACACCACAACTGAATTGGCTGTATATAGAATCAGCCATATCAGCAACAAAAAGTGCAAAAATGCCAAGAAATTCCGGTTGAGCCCAACAAGCCAGTATAAGGGCATTGTGAACAAAATGGCCAGGATAAGAAGAAATGGCAAGTATACTAGGCCATTGGCAATAGCATAGGATGATATACGGTAGCTTCCACAAGATGTTTCCTTCATTAGAATCTCCCTTTCTTGCAGAAAAATTGGTAGAGCTTCTATGCTGCTTGATAACAAAAACGTTAATATGAAAGCAAATAGTCCTACCCTTTCTACTGTTCCAACTAGATCATCCTTGAGGTTGCAAAAGATGGACCCCAAAACCAGGCCAGAAACCAGCATCTGAATTGTCCTGCATGCAAATAGCTCTTTTGTACGAAATATGTTTTTGGAGAACCTATGAGCGAGGATCATAGTTTCTCTCAATCTAGAATTAGCAAAATCACAAGTGAAATCCATTCCAGCATTGATGATTTCCTCATCAATTACCTTGGATTGCTGAAAGAGCTGTTGCAAAGTGAACTTACCACTCCTACCCTCACCTGTTTCATCCTCACCTTTCTTCGGTTGCATTGTCCCTGGCAATTGCCTTGGTGTTTCTACCTGAACTGGCACACATTTCTGGTGTTGCTGAATGGTATCAATGGACTCAATGGCAAATTCAACTACATTAACATGAAGGGGAAGCTCTAAACCCATTAATCTTAGATTCACACCCAGCAAATCCGCAGTTCCATGATGCAACACACAGCCATTGGCCAACAACAACAATGAATTGAACAGCTTCACTATTCTGAACCCAGGTTGATGGATACTAAGAATTATAGTTCTTCCCCTAGTGTCTGCCATGACCTTAAGCATATCAATTATTTGTAAGGCAGAAGTACTATCAAGACCTGAAGTTGGCTCATCAAGAATCAGCACTTTAGGATCATGTATGACTTCAACACCAATAGAGACCCTGCGCCTCTCACCACCAGATATACCTCTGACCCGTTCATCACCAATTCTAGTGCCAGCAACATGATCAAGTCCAAGCTCTTGAATCAGTGACTTGACCCTTGAGCAAAGCTGTTCTTGACAAAGCTTTAGCCTTAGCTGTGCACTAAACATCAGGGTTTCTTCAACTGTAAGTAAAGGAAACAAAGTATCCTTTTGTGTAACATACCCTGAGAGCTTTCTGAACTGAGTTTTATTCACAGGCTTGTGGTTCACCAACACTGATCCACTTTGAGGACTGTGTTTACCAGCAAGAATCTCAAGCAATGATGATTTCCCAGCTCCACTTGGCCCAACAATTGCTAGGATCTCCCATGGCTTGGCTTGGCAACTCACATTCTTCAGCACATGCCTAACTCCACTGCAACTTTGTTCAGCTTTTGCTCTCTCTCCTGATTCTAGACCATCTTCTTTGGTGTCAAGTTGTGCAGATTTGCTGAAGATTTTAAAAGGGTGCTCCGTTTTGTGTGTGTGGATCTTGTAGTTTATGCCAATGGCCTCAACCTCACAGCCTTGCATCTTCATATGAATAGGTTGCTATGCCTCTTTTTCTATGTGTTTCTCTCTGTTGTTTCTAGCACTCTCTTCTAATTCCCATACCCATTTGGTTCTCTTCCTCTCTGTTGTATATTCTTTTTTAAATCAATGGTTTTGGCCTCAGCTGCAGACAGTGAAACAATGAGTGGTTCGAAGGGATTCAGCTACAAAAGACACTGAGGTCCTCGAACTTTGTATACAAGGTTCACGTGCATTTCTTGCTATTTCTCTACCAATTTTATATATTTTGACACAGGGGATGATGCTTATACAAATTTACGATTTAAATATAAGAATTCAATAATTGTTAGTAAGTAAATCCAATATATATTTAATAAGGATTAGTAATATATTAATACTTTGTTGGTTAACATACCAATTTGTGTGTCCTAAATTAAACATTTATTATGCACATGGAACATAGAATAATTCACGTGAATCTTTTTGGTTTCTCGTGGTTTAATGGACAGCTATACATTAAACATAGCTTCGGGGTGTTATCAAATGCCAATAGTAACTGTAAAATGGAGGATGCTAATGGTTTTGGACATTGGTTTTTTGGAGCATAATTGAGACGGGTGTGGAATTTAATTCGCCAATCATCGTGTTCGACAGCATATTTTTTATTTATGACAATTCAGTTTCTTCTATCCTTTTATTACATGATGATAGTACTATTTTACCTACATCATGATGTTTGCAAATCATTTTTCTATCATTTCAATCTCGTGTCTGCTTATAAAAGAATTAAATGATCAATCCAATTCATGCAATCGTGGGAATTTGTTAATAGTGATATGTACATACATTGGTCATTTTCTCTATTTGTCTTTTTTATATTAACATGCTTGAATGAATATAAATTCATGTTTATTTCAATGTTAATTGTTTTATTAAATTTATACTATGTTGATCAAATAAATAATATAAAAAAATGATATTTAGTATAGCAGGGATGATTTATGCTTACATGTACGGAACTTTTGTGTATTCTATGAGTGAAGGATTGATTACAGTACAGATCTTTTAGGGGGGAAAATAACTATGAATGGCTATTAATGTAATTACTGAAAAAGACTAAGTACAAACCACTAGCATTTTGGAGTGACGTGTTAGGACACTAGGATTTGGGAATCAACAAAGTGGTGGTCCCTTGGGTCATCAAATTTGTGGCTGAAATTTCATATTGCTCCAGAACGAATCAAAATCTTCCATAACTGTGTAATTTGATAAGCTCTTCAATTTTCATCTTTGTCTTGAGGTCCAAGCATTTACTACATACAATTATCTTCTGTCATGCATTAGTTTCTCTATTTCTATCTTTGGCACACTGATAAAATCATTCCCACGAAATATATGTGATCATCTTATCCGTCTAATTAGTAATGATTAAATATACAATTTGATTTAGAAACTAGAATTTTGTTTTCTTTTTTAGTTTTTGAAACTTTTATTTTGTATAGTTTAGTAATCAAATATGTTAACTTGGACGCATTTTAGTCATTATTTCACAAACACTCAAGAACAATAAAAATAAAAAACATATAAATTAATGTTCAGAAACCACATTATACAAAACAATATTTTTAAGGTAAAATAATTCTCTTAAAGATTAAAATGTGAGTAAATTAATACATTTGAACATCTAATTGTACAAAATTAAACTTTCAAAGATCAAAAGTAACCAAATAAATAAATAAAAAATTATCACCTTTAGAAACCAATTTGTGCAGTTACTCAATTAATAAAATTAGGGGAAAAAAACTGCATTAACCAACCAAACCCTCTATAAGAATTTGTTGAATGTAATGTGATTATATCTTCTTAGATAAGTAACTGCGTGATTGCTACTTGGAATTGGGTGAAAGCCTCTCTGAAGATACATTATTACATCTTAAGCAAACCAAAAAATTATTCCCCACAAAATATAGTCGAGCTTAATTAGTCAACAAATGTTGTTGCAACATCTTAAGAATATGAATTAATAAGAAAATGATGGACTTAAGAATGGAAATCCATACAAAACGTTGAAAGAATTATGAGTAGTGATTAATTTTTTAACAATTTACTTATTTATTTATTCAAGAAACTTGTCTGGATTGCAATATCTGATTCAGTGTCATGGAGGAAGCTGAAGAACCCGTGAACGCTTTCTGGGGTCAATTAGGTACATCCTTGACCTCTCACTTGCCACTTGCCCCACCCACAACAACTCATTGTCACATTAGTATAATTTTACTACGTGGATTAATAAGAATCAAAGTTTAATTTGATAAATAAAATAAATTAAAGTAAAAAAAAAAACAAACACTTTGCTAGCCCGTGAACCTCTCCTCTTTCACTATTCAATTATTAAAACTACCAAAAAAAATTCTGCACCACAAACGTCCAATCCATTCCAAGTGACTTTAGAACATTGGATTTGAATGCCTTTTTTTATTAGGTGAGGAAGTTTGCTTAGTTATTAGTTGATGGTCTTAATCACTTTAATTATTATTATTATTATTTTAATTATGTGTCGCTTTTTCCTTCGCCTTCGCTGATGAGAAAATGCTATGGCCTCTTCTTTTGTCTTTGCTGATAACAGTTTTATGCTTCTACCAATGATGTGACCCTCTATATTATACACTATGATTTGCCTTTGACACCGGATCCCATCTAAATCCAGAGAATAAGCAAATGTTCCAACTTAATGCATATTGTCTTTTGTAGCTTAGTGAAACATTTCAATTATGTGAATTAAAGTGTATTTAGTAACAAAAGTTAATAGTTTATTTAAGAATTATACTTTGTTTTTTAAGTCAATAAATCAATTAAATTATTTGGTAAAGAAAAATAAAAAATTATAACTTTTGAAAATAAAGCTATAACAAAATTACTCTAGCTAATATTTGGTTGATTAGAAGTAAGCTTCTAATATTTTATTTTTATTTTTTTTTAAATTTTTAATAATTTATACTCATGTAAAATAATTTAAATATTTTGCAATTATTTAATATATTTTAACTATTTATACAAATAATTTTATTAAGTAATTCTAATTCAATCAGTTAATTATAAGTACAAGCTACAGTTATAAATTTTCAAATATCTTATATAAATTTTTAGTTAATTTTATTAAATAGACCCTGAGTGGGATACAATTGTAAGAGAAAACTCAGATATATATTGCAGGAAACTATATACACTTTTCATAATCAACTGTCTTAAGATTTTGTTTTTATTATTATTAAACACTAAATCTCCTCGTCATATGTAATAATTTTCTTTAAAATGTAGCTATTCCTTACATAAAATCCTTATCTTGGAAGAGGTTAGTCGAATAAATTATTGGAATGGAGGGTAGTGAGTATAATCTATTAATTAAAACTAATTGAATTTATTCAATCCGTTAAAGAAGCCTCTAAAATTGGGGATATCAATAATTAAGGAATCCATTAAAAAATTTCCCATGACGATATCATATAAATTTGAGGTTCTAAACTCATAAAAAGACAAACAGTGAACAAAGGAGGTTCAAGGCCCATCCATACACAGTTCAACTGGGAAACAAGTTTATAACTTCCAATTATTTTGTATTTACTTATTTTAATAATTTTTTATTTATTAAAATAAATTATTTTTATTTTATTTTATGCAAAGAAAGATTTATTGCATTTTATGCAAACAAAACAAAATAAAGAGAATATTATTCCTTCTGGTGACGATCTTGTTTATGAATCTGTGCGTTGTGTCAGGCCATTGAGGACTAAAAAATTGTGATGATTAATTTAGAAATTATAAATGTAGATCCTAAAGCCAGCTATATCCAGTAATAAACCTGTTCTTATTAGCACACAGTGAGCTAAACATGTTGTCTGCTTTCACATTGAAAATCAGTGGTTTGATAATTAACGACTTTTTCAGACAATATATTAATATTTAGTGTGTCTGAATTTTCACCCGTTCGAGTTCTCAAATATTCAAATGACAAACGTATATTAAGATTAACTCTTTCCAACCAAAGACTACTCACAATGCATAGACATTACTTTGAAGTTTGAAGTAGGGGTTAAACAAGTGAAGAAGAGCTGAAAATTGGAAGCCTAAATTTAGGGAATGAAAACAAATGTTTGAGTTTAATTTACTTAATTTAAATGAGATAAATTTAAAGTTTGGATTTAATTTTGTTGGAGTTTTTAAAATTTTAAATGAATTCATTAGCTCATTTATGATTTTTTTAAAGTTTAATTACTTTTTTAGTTCTTCTATTTTAAATTATGTGTATTTTGACTCTTTAAGCTTTATTCGAATTAATTGAATTTTTCTACCTTTATAATTTAACAAAATTGATTCTTTATTAATTTTTTAAAATAAAAGTTAAGAGGAATTTTTTATAATTTTTTAAAATCAAAACTAGAGTTTTGCTTTAATAATCATGACACTTAATCCTCCCATTACTTATATAAATTATAGTTTTAATTATAAAATGATATTAAAACTACTTAAATATTATACCTAAATTTGCTCTCTCTTTTTTATTCTAAAAATCTTAATTTTTTATTTGTTACTTTAAATGTTTACAAATTAAATTATTCTTTACTCAAAATTAATTAATTAAAATATTAAATTTAATTTAAAGTATAAAAATATCAATTTTTTTATTCAAATCTTGATCTCTAATCTTATAAAATCTTTAAATTTGTTAAATTTTTAATATCTATTTTTAAAATTTTAAGCTTATTTCATGTTCCAAATCCTTTACAAATCTTTCATAAATTCAGATGAAAAATAAAAAAATTGAAATTTTTAAGTAAGAGTTATTTTTAAAAAATTAAAAAACTACAACAACATATAAGTCAACCTTTTCACGTTATCTTTGAATAAAATTGTGTTTATTAATTAATATTTAACAAATATTTTCTTTATTACAAATTTAATTTATTTTTATATTGATAATATAAAACTTTTTAGAATTTTAGTCATCTAGTACATAATAGGGATTATTGACGAGTATCACAAATAATAATAAGTAAAAATAAAAAACCATTTAATAAAAATAATCCACAACCTTTCAATATAACTTAAAAAGATAATCAAGAAATTTTCCACACGCCTTATAGGGAAAAAAAAAAAACCAGAATATTTGTCATTAATGAAAAGAGAGATAAACCGATAAGGAGAGGGTGAAGTTCATGTGGCAGTGAGTAATAGTTGGTGAGTTGGCTAACTCGTTCGTCTCAATGCACCTTCACAAACTTCCTCGCTCTTCTTCTTCGTTTGGTACTATTCATTCCTCTTTTCAGTTTCACTTTCACAACGCCAATTTCACACTCTGTGTTTGTGTTTGATGCCAATTATGCTGTGGGATTCCGAATTAAAATTAAAATGCTTATCAATGAGTTAGATGGAATCGTGCTTTGCTTGTACCAGGGAACGCGTTCTTTCTCGCAGCTCATCATCATGTTTTTGACTTAAGAGTCTTTGATAATCGATCGTTCCGTACGAATCAGAAACGTTTCAGAGCGTCCATTTCGTGTTCTTTTCTGCCTTCTATTCACCAATTGAATGATGCACGCCTTATATATTCCGTTGCTCCATCAATGGGCCACAACCAGGTGTGTATATATCGATAATGTTTCCAATTTTGATTCTGTTTATATACTTGTGTTATTGCATAATGCCCTTATTCTGTTTTTCTTGTTTTGTTAGAAACACCAATAGAGACTATGTCTGAATTATTCGGATTAATGTGATTGTAATTTGGATGTGCTGCATATTATAGGAGTCTCATCCAGAATCACATTTTAGAGTTCCAGCCATTGTGGATGCTCTAGAAGAAATGAAGCTCACTCCAAAGGTTCTCAAAGCAATGGACATTGTGCTTCACAATCTTTATAATTGTCATCTGTATATAATCTTCTGACAACATATTTCTTTTGAAATATTTGATATCATGTTGGCATTGGCATTTGACAGCTTGATTGTGCCTGAAATTCAGAAAATAAACAAAAAATCATTTTCATTCAAATCTTGCTTCCAAAGTTGAACTCCCCAAAAAGAAAGAAAAACTGTTTACTAAATAAAGTACATTAAGCTACATTTTATTATCTTGAGTGTATCACCTTCTTCTTTTGCTAATTTGCCAAGTTTTCTGTTTGATTGAAAGACAAATGAACTTCCCTAGGCTATCTGTGGCTATAGGGTTTGTACTTTGTGCACAGGAGTCAGCTAGAGAATGCTTGCCAGTTTAAAAAAAGGACTGCCTTAAGTGGATGATAATGTGAACTTATGTTTTCATATTTACAACTTCATGTTATGTATGATTCAGTTCCGTGGCTCTGAGGTAATTGAACTTCAACATTTTGAGCCTGCTTCAGTTGATGATATTGCAAGTGTGCATGCAAGAACCTATGTTTCTGGGCTTGAAAAGGTAACCTATTTTTTTTTTTTTTCACTGTTTTCCTTGGCATCAATTATTCTTGCTGTGAGATATTGTGTTTTCTAAATTATAATGCCTTTTAATTTATATTGTACTAATTAAATTGTGGTTAGGAGATGTCCTTTGTTTATTGCTTATGCAGCTATGCTTTCTTTTTTGCCTTGCATTTTGTTTCCTAATCTCGCTCTTGTCTTTCCAGTTTCCAGCAATGCATGATGCATCTTAAGAAATATTTATTTGTTGAATTTGCGGTGTGCTTTGGCATTGCTTTCGTTGATTAATTTCACTTGATGCATTCTTTACTTCTTGTTTAATGCACAGTGATGATAAAACATCAATCAAGAATTGCTGCTCACAGTGAATTGTTCACTTGGTATTTGTGCTTAAATAGATGTTTTACTAATGGCTTTTGAATTCTGATTAATCCTTTCTCCAGTATCCTAGTTTTAGTTCAAATTTTCCCCATCACTGGCCATTGTCAACCATTTAATAATTTGCATTTAATCTGATTTTACCATGGCACCAAAAATTCTTGTTCTGAAGTTTGTCATATTTCCTCTTCCCAATCTTTATAGGTTATGGATCAAGCTTTGGAGAAGGGCCTCATTTTCATTGATGGTTCTGGACCAACATATGCTACTGCATCTGTAAGTGCTCTGCTTAGGGCAATATGTTTCTTTCCCAAGCTTGTAGTTTTTGCTGAAAGTCATTCTTTTCTAGAAACTTTACATTTTAGTTCATTATGGTAGTAGATACATTTACCAATGAGAAATATGATTGATGTTGTGTTTTTTGCATTCTTATGGTTGTATTCATGATGCAGACCTTCCAGGAGTCAATAATTGCTGCTGGTGCTGGATTAGCCTTAATTGACTCAGTGGTGATCTCTCAACCTGGATTGTCCATCTCTTGGTAATAATCTGTGTGTGTTTTGGGGAGCGGTAAGTGAGTGGATATGGATTATGGATATGTATGTAGCCCCTTCTTGTGACATACATACTGGAAATGGATGTTTAGTTCTTTGTTGGAAATTTGGATCTTTGCTTTATTGGAATAATATATTGGCTGAAAATGTTTATAGCTACCTTTGTTTGAATCTTCCAATGACTGGGGGAGGTGGGGAGTGACAAATATAACAAGTTTTGGAACTAAAGTGTGTCTTCTTGATTGGATTTTGTTGTGTCCAGTATATTCTGAGTTGTTAGATATAAAAAAAGAAAAAATAATTCTTGAGTCTCCACTTGCTGGCTTGAGCTTTTTGAAATATGTTACCAAAGCTTCTATGACCAAATGGTCAATATTTTTGATCCTTGCCACCCCTGTTCTTCATAAATAAGTTGAACTTGTGCACAAGGTCCAGGTCCTGTACATTGTCTATTCTTCAAGTTGGCTCTTACATGAGGGGTTTGTTAGATATAAAAATCCTGTTCTTGATTTTATGTATTTCTTATTTGGGTGTAAATTTCTCTTATTCAATTTCATATTCAGGTTGCAGGTTCAAAGATAAAGGGAGATGCACCCACTGGTTTTGCTTTGATAAGACCGCCAGGACACCATGCTGTTCCACAAGGACCTATGGGCTTCTGCATTTTTGGAAATGTAGCCATTGCAGCCCGTTATGCTCAGCGTGTTCATGGACTGAAGTGTGTGTTTATAATTGACTTTGATGTTCATCATGGGAATGGAACAAATGATGCTTTCTATGATGATCCAGATATATTCTTCCTTTCATTTCATCAAGTAAGCTACTAGTTTGGTCCTGCATCTGACTATATTTTTTATTCTGAAATGGTATCTGTTACCAATGTTTCTCTTTTCTGTTTGTGTTATTAGGCTATTAGTTTACTGATGTTTTTAGATGCCATGTTTACAGATTTATTTTAGTTCAAATTTGTTCAGATTCTTGAAATTTTATGTCTATATTAAATTAATAAGTATAGATTATTGTACAATTTTTTTTTTTTAATTTTACTTAGAGCTGATGTTGAGTGGTATAGGGAAATGTGGTACCATAATAAGATGGTAGAGGCAGGTCCTGAGTAATTCTATCCACCTTTGCTTCCAATCGCACCATTCCTTGCATCAATAACTGTGCCTGTCTGCTGGTGGTCTTTTGGAGTTAGGTAATGCCACTGAGAACTAGGTTCAATTGTTGTTTGCTGGTCATATTGGATGAAGTTGAAGGAGAGGCTGCTGAGGGTCGTCTTTTGGGTCTTTTGCTAGATTTCTCTGTACATGCATCTATGGTAGAGGCAGGGATTCACTTTGGTTTCTGAACCGGGATATCATTTGGTACAATTGCCACCTTAGCTTCTTCACACGGTAGGGTAATCAGGGACGGGTAAGCTAGTGACCATTGGTTGTCATCCTCCATGATTTGGCGAAGCTCTTGATAAATTACTTTTGCAACATTAGTATCAATTCTCATGATAATGCAGTATAAGAGTTGAGCTCGCCTCAGCAACAGTGTGGTATCATGCAGGACTGGGGTAAAAGATCCAATAATACATTGGAACCAAGCTCTTGGGATGGGTAGAAGATCACTCACCAATAAGCTACGTGGCTTAGAACTACCTAGAGGTCTCCACTCTGCTTCTGATTTGCATAGAATTCTGATTGTGGCTTCATAGTTTGGGGTTTGCTACAACAACAGTGTATAATCATCCTTCATAGGTTTAGGAGCTGGTTTGGTAATTTTCAGGACTCTGCTTATTACACCTGGAATGAATGAGACTTTGGTGCCTCGCACCATGGTGTGGTATGGAGAAAGATTGATATCAGCTTGAGGATTGAACTTTGCATTCGTGTAAAATTCATGAACCAAAGTCTGAAACCCTTTTCCAATTAACCCATGGAGGAATTCCCAATTCCTGGTTTGAATGGTGAGGCATATGGGTTCATATTCTCCTTCATTAAGCTTGAAAGCTTTGTCTTCCACAATTCTCCGCAGTTTGATATTAGAGTTGTGGTGCTCCTCATGAAAGGGACTGCAGAAGGGACCTGTATTTGTTGTTTCCTCGGAGAGTGCCACCCTAGGACTCTTTGTTCTGTTTGCCACTATTTTCGTCTTCATCTTTAGCAGAAAATTCTATTTTTATATGTTATGTTAAACTCGTGTCCCCATAGTCAGCTATGCGTGTGCCCACAAAGAGCTCTGCAGTATTTCACTTCTTTCCACCAAATTCAATTGCAATTTACTCTTCTAAAACTTTCAAAAACCAACTGTAAAATATTAATAATTGAACAATATAGTGTACTCCAAGTAATAACATTTTTTCATTAAATTTTTTAATTAATTACACTAATTTAGATTATTTATTCAATGAAAAGCATCGGAAGCATTAAATTTACTACATGAGTCAGTGACTCATCAATTATGTATGTTAAATTCCAAGGTATCAAGTTCTTATCAGTGCTAATTCTACATTTGAAGCCATGGTGAAAGTGCCAAACTGTTTTGTGTCTGATGCTTTTCTTTTGGGGTAATTGCAATATCTCCCCTGATTTTTTATGTAAGCGTAATATCTTCTAAAATACTAGTGTAGTTAGGAAATTGTAACCCTCACCACAGGAATATTATACACTTGGACAAAATAAACTAGACAAACTTCACAAATTAAAAAGAGAAGCCTCAATCAGATACGGTAATGTCTAAAATTATGTGAAGATAAGAAATAGTACGAGACTTATTGGTGTGCTAAAATGTGAAGAAAAGAAATAGTATGACATATATTTAATGATTTTTGTGGCACAGGATGGAAGCTATCCAGGTACCGGTAAATTTGATGAGGTGGGTAGTGGAGATGGTGAAGGAACCACTCTAAATTTGCCTCTTCCCGGAGGCTCAGGGGATACTGCTATTAGAACCGTATTTGATGAAGTCATTGTACCATGTGCTCAAAGATTTAAACCAGACATCATTCTCGTTTCTGCTGGGTGAGTCTTTCACTGAATCATTCTCATCAATGCATTCCAGCGCACCTGGTGAATTTTAGTTCCCATGCACACTTACAAACTTGATTCTACTATGAAATTTGGATTGGATTTTTATAGCAATTAGAGGCCTATGCATACAAATTGTGCCAATCTTATCTTTACATTTGGAATTTCATGTTCATTTGTTAGGTATGACGGCCACGTGTTGGATCCACTAGCTAATCTTCAATATACAACTGCAACATATTACATGCTAACGTCCAGCATTAAACAACTAGCGAAAGATTTATGTGGGGGCCGATGTGTGTTTTTTTTGGAGGGAGGATATAATCTCAAGTCTCTTTCATACTCGGTGGCAGACACATTCCGTGCTCTTCTTGGCGATCGAAGCTTGGCATCTGAGTTTGACGACCCTAACATTTTGTATGAAGAACCGTCGACAAAGGTTAAGCAAGCTATTCAGAGGATAAAACACATTCATTCCCTGTGATGTCGTAAATCACAAACTGACATGACAAGTATCTATCTAGTATTGAAATTTTCATTTTTGTGGGTTCCATCCTTGACCTTTTAGTCTATACCCCCCTAGGGTGGGCATCGTCCTACTTAATCACATAGAATAGAAGCAAAGCCATTGTAGGATTGGCTATCATCTTTGAATAATAGCTCTAGTTACAAGATCCCATGCAGGCTGCTGCTACATTGATCATGTACAGTCATCATACCAAGCCGTATCTGTATATAAAGGGGTAAACTCTTATTTTTTTAGAGTTTAATTAGAATGCATTGAGAGTATTGAAATTCAAATGGCTTTATTTTTATTTCTGATAATGTATTATTTCTAATTTAAACTTTAAAGCAGCTTCTAAAATAAATAGTAATCAAGCCGAACACTACCAACTAAATTTATTGTGCCGCTGTATAGAATTAGGGGTTGTTTTTCCCTTATAGAAGGAAATAATCGATGCTTGCCTGCTCAACATAATATTTATATTATCATTTATAATATTTTGTTAAGCATGTTTTGTATATTAAAAAAATACTTTCAAACATTACGTTCAATATGTAACTTTTTATTCCTGTTATTGCGAGTGATAAAAAATTAATTCTCATAAGAAAGTTTCATATTTGAATGTTTTACAGTGAAGGGAATAACAGGTTGGAGAGTTGAAGCTGAATGTAATTTTTATATTCAAGATCTCTCATCCATAAATACTTAACCAATTAACCTTCCGTAAGTACAGTTTTAACACTAAAATTTCAACATCTAGATTTTTTATTTTATTAAACATAATCAATGTTCCAAAAGGATGGATTGATACATAGATGAAGAAACAACCCATCTAAGTTACCCAATTGGTGGGTTGATGTTAATAAAATGACAAAGAATGTGTGAGCTTCAAGTCTTTCGCGTGGAATAAAAAGTAAGCAACAAAAAAAGCCTTCACGTCAAAATTTGAAACGGTGACAGAGGTGAAAGAATAGCTAGATGCTTTTCATATGTTCACATTGAGAAGGTGCTTTCACTGTCCCAGCAGAACTGCCACTGTTCACATTAATACATTGGTTTTGGTTCATTTGGTGGAGGTACGTAGATTGTTCCATTTGGAGGTGTTTTTTTCCCCCTTAATAAGTTTTACTTGAATTTAGTTGTCTAACTTTTTGAATTGTTATAAGAAGTGTTATCGATCCATCAATTTTTCTTTATATAAACCTTTGCAGCATTATTTTTTTTATTCATATAATTATTGAGAGTTTATGATATATTTAAGAAAGGAAAAAAATTATAAGAAGTAAATAATTTGATGAAATTTGAATGATTTTCTAAGGTATCAAGTTAAGATTTCATATAAAGTTTACATTTCAAAATAAAATTTCGATAAAATATGATATCTTGATTGCTAAGCACGACGCACTTTTTAATACAAAATAAATTATTTGTAATTGTTTTAACATGTAAGTTGACTTAATGTGACATACTATTTCAAGTTCTATTTATAAAAAATAAATATTTAATTCATTAAAATTAAAAAAAAATATTTATATGTCATAAATTTATACTATGTTCTACAAATAGTTGTAGTATTAATTAGTATCTTATATATCAACTAAATAAATATTTCCACTCATATAAGTAAAGAGTGATTATATTAGTAGCACAAATTATAAAATAATTAAAAATATAAAAATAATTTAAAAATTTATATGTTTAAAAGTTTTTTTTTATAATTTAGAAAAATATTAATAGTTATTTATTATAAATAGAATAAGTAGTATTTTTTTAACACAAAATAAATAATTATAATTATTTTGACACGATTACTGAAATAAGTTGATCTGTTTGGATTAATTTTCATGAAAATGAAAATCAATTCCATATACTACACAAGTAGAGCATAAAAAGGTTTATTCAATTTTTTGTTGGTAGATATTTTACAGAAAATGAGAAGAGAGAAATTAATAGAAAAATTTAATTGCAAAAATAAAAAAAGGAATTAAATTCAAATGAAAAATCATATAAAAACTAAAATTACACATTAATCATAAAGGAATAAGTACAAGGAAATAACTTATTTAAAGTTTTACTCACACCGACACATATGAGTGTGTCTATAAATATAATGAAGAAAATTTCAAAATTGGGAAGAGGGAGGAATGGCCAGGAATGCCATCCTGAGTTATATGTAGCTTCACCCCTGGTTCCGGGGGTTAAGGTTCAAATGGTATAATGATAAAAGCAGAGTTAAAACACTTGTCTATGAATCAACATGGTGCCGGCTAAAGGCGTGTGACCTACCAACTACTGCATGACGCAAGAGCTCATCAACTTTTATCCTTTAGTGAAGCGTAATGATGGTTAATGAAACATATACTAAACCATAAAACCATCGACTATAATACAACTAAATAATTCGTGTTTGTTCTATTTGTCTGATTAAGTATACTAGAATAACGTTGATTTTGTAGTATATATGAATGCCACTAAAATTAGATGAACAAGGGTAGTAGGAATCGAAGTTGGTAGAAGGAAGAACAGGACTTATGATCATATAATTCAGTGTGCAGCTGGCAGACCCTGGCACACAAAGGTGTTTCTTTTCATAATTAAGAGGTGGAAAATGAGGGGGAACCTGAACAAAGGGACTTTCTTTTTGCTCTTTTTAATGTGATATTTTCTATTAATGTGAACAACTAGAAAAACTAGGCCTCTAAGGCATTCCGAGTCTCAACACTTTACCATGTAAATCCTCCTCTCTAACGGTGCAATAATTAAAATTTCAAATGGGTTACCTTTAATATTTTAATGATTTGATCTTAAGGGTGTAAGTATCAACAGTTGGTAACACTTGGTTGATAGCTACGGTTAAAATGATTCATGCCTGTGCGAAGGTGAACACGAACACTTATGACCCATGCTATTCAAACGAAGTAAAGAAACCTTTTTCTCAGGTCAGTGGCCCATCATTAAGCATATACTAGCTAGTGGTTAGTAAATAATTTAAAGGTGCAGATTAATAAGCATACACTAGTTATTCAAGCCCATCATTTTTGTTTATCCACACACTTACACAATTATTTTAACCAAATCTGAGATGTCGCATATCAAAAATTGTCCTTACATGTTAGCGGTCAGTAAATAAATAAAAGGGTGCCCAATGTTTTTTCATGGGATGGGATAATCTAATGATAAACCCAAGGTTAAATTTTAAAATTACTTTACGGAATTTAAGCACCAAATATCCCCATGGTTTAAGGAAATTAAACCAGTCAAAAAGTAAAGCCGAAATATGCACAACTCCTATTTTGACTCGACCCTTTATTTATTTAAAGCATAGATCTATGTAGAACAGGTACAACATTCACTTTTTTTTCTTATATTGTTTTTCTTTTTCACTTTGAGACTATTTTCAATGTCAGAGCTTTTTTTCCTACCATATTGCCGATTTTAAGTACTAGCAAGCAAGAACATCAAGATTCAAAATGTGCATTAGAACATCAAGAACATTAAGATTCCCTATGAGAATATTGTGCATCGACAATCGATAAATTGACTACGAAACCTATTGGTCATGGATCATGCCAGCAAGCGCGTAAGGAAAAAAATTGACCGCTAAAAAAAGGAGGGAACACGAATTATTCAGATAAGGCAGGTCTTAATTCTCGTAGTGCTTGTCTCGCTAACCCAAATAATTATGCACAATAATTAATTTGATGTTAACTTAAACGAAGATACTTAGTAAACGTCTCCCAAGATGTAGACATGCATTTAAAAAGAGATTAAAAAATATATAATAAATAATGAAAAAAGCTAACTATTATCTTAAAATACTGATTAGGAAATCAAAATAAAAAAAATATTTATTAATATCTTAATCAATATTTTAAAGACACTTGTTAACAAAACTTTAAATAATTTATAAAAATAAAAAAAAATAAAAATTGATGGGTGTTTATAAATTAGAAGTGTAACCCTAAGTTAAATTATCACTTACAACGCAACTTCTGTTGTTAGCTTTCTGTGGCCCTACTTTCTTATCGTGATATTCCACGCAACGCCGACTTTCTTCTTGAAACTCAATTCTTCTTCTGAATCACAATCACTCAAAATCTCTCTCTCCCTCTCCCTCTCCCTCTCTCTAAGTAACTATAAACTTTGACAAACTTGACTTAAGTGCCAGTCCTTCTAAAAACGAAAAATATCAAAAGATGGCTAGTGGAAGTGTCAACCTTCCTCCTGGCTTTTGCTTCTCTCCAACTGATGAAGAACTCATCCTTCACTTTCTTTATCCCAAGGCTTCTCTACCATCCCATCCCAACATCATACCAGAGCTTGACCTCTCTCTTCTCCTTCCATGGGAATTAAATGGTATGTCTCTATCATTGTCTGATTGCTGTTAAATTTTTCAACAAGTGACATAACCATATATACGCATGCATGGATCAAATTCCATGTCTTATAAATGTTTTCCCCAGCCGAAAAAAAAAAAACTAAATATGTCTGGTGTTTATATGTATCTTTTGTTTTTGTTATATATATATTTATATAGGTAAAGCGTTGTCAAGTGGAAATCAACACTATTTTTTCACCAAAGGGAAGGAAAATAGATCCACTGAAAATGGATATTGGAAGGAAATAGAAGTCACAAAACCTATAGTATCATCCTCTGATGACAAAGTCGGGATCAAGAAGTACCTCGTGTTCAACCTTGGTGAAGCTCCACAAGGCACTGAAACCACTTGGGTCATGCAAGAATATCATATTTCCTCATCTGGATTTAACACTGCATCTTGTGGAAGTACTCGTGGGAGACGAAAATCCGTAAGTGATTTTGATTTTCTCAATTAATTAAGTCAATCAACAACTTGTACAAAACATGGAAAACTGAAGAAATTTAATTATTCGTATTAATTTTCCGATGTGTTGTGCAATAACACAGGATCAAAATAGGAGCAAATGGGTTTTGTGCAGAGTCTATGAAAAGAAGAGGTCTCAATCCCAACAAGGTGTAAGCTGTTACAGCGATGAGGATGACAGTGGAACAGAACTTTCATGGCTAGACGAATTTTATATGTCGTTAGATGATGATCTTGAAGAAATTATAAGCTTGCCTAATTAGATTGAACGATATAAATATTGGGATATTGCATGTTAGAATTTTGGTAATTATATGTATTTTGAAAGGCAGATTAGGAAGTCTCTACAATTACATGCAGAGGAGTACAAAGATAATATATATACTTATTTTAATTAGGTAATGCCTTTTTTGTCACCTTTTAAACGTCCTCGTACGTCAAAGAGGATACTTTGCTTGCGAAAATGCAGCTTCGATAGTTTTGTATCTTTTTCTATTGTAACTTCCTTTATACATAACTACTTTATACTTTTTATATAATTTGGAATGCCTATTTCAGTTGTTTTATTCGTGATTGCACCGAATGGTAGACGTCATTTCCTACAATTAATTAAGCTATCAGTTTATATGTCTCTTTCAGTCGCATAATTTATCTTATCTTATATTTCTAATTCTTCTCTTCATATAATCTTTTTATCATACAAAAATATAGAAAAAAAAAATGTAATTTATCGTCTAAGAAAGCACATGTGGAACCTATTGTCTTTGAGCGGACAGACAGAGAAGCAGAAGCAGACAATGAGTGTGTCTCAGCGCCAGCCCCTCTATTATTCATTTACATTTTGAAAATAATTTTACTGTTAAAATATTGATATCATATATAATATTATATATAATTAGATTTATCACTTATTTTCTTTTATTTTTCATGTAAGCATTTAAAAGCACATCCTATAAATAAATGCAATTGCATTTGTTTTAATGTAGACAAAACATTTTTCTTTCTAAAGTTCAGTGGCGTGTCATGTTCTGGATGGTGTTTTTATTACTCCATGATATTCGCTACTATCGCAAGAAAATGGTGCAGTTAGATCAAAAGAAGCATGGACAACAATTTAGAGTTTAGGTTCAGAAATTGATTACGAGTAAATAATGTGTTGTTAATACTCTATATCATATTGAAATTTAAGAGCAAATTTAATCATCCCAATATTTTATAACATATTGAAATTTTAGAGAGAACATGCACCTTGACGACTTTTAGGGACTAACTTCGAGCAGGTCTTCACATTCCCAACCTACAAGTAGTTGCCATTCCATTTTCATTGCATATTATAAGGGAAAACACAATGAAATGAAACCGATCTAAATGAAAAAAAAAAAGTTGGTGAGGATGTTATTGCGAGGATGTATAATGATTACATGATAAAAAAATTTAAGACATAGGAAATTTTTATTAAAGATTTTAACGTTTAATATTATTCATACATTAAATTTAATAATTTTAATTATATAATTTTTAATAAATATTCTTTATATAAATTTTTATTATATATTTTATACATACGTTTAAAAAATTATAATGATTTGTTATTAAATTATGTAAAATTTTTCTTTTACGTGAAACACACATATAAAAATAAAAATAAGTTAGGTTAGACTAGATTTTGTATAAATAGGCTTAGCCTGTCTAATAATTTTGAAATCTAAGTCTGACTTATTATTTGTTATAGATTTTTTATTAAGGCTAACCTTCCGTTTTAAAAGCCTGATTTGACTTATTAATTTTTTTAATAATCTACTTTATATCAAGACATTTAATAGGTCATTAAATTTATTTATAAATAGACTATATTTTTTAAGAATCACAAAGCTTATTTCTAAATAAACTATTAAAAAAATGATATAACATAAATAAGTACGCAAAATTGTAAAAATATATGAGATGAGATGAGACGAACTAGTATTAGACGTAATCAAGACAACGCAATATAAATAAGTGTTATGCGTATAAGATATGTAAAAAGTTCCAGCAAATAGAGTTTTCTTTTTTAGAGAATATGTAGTAAAGATATTCTTTACCTCTGATGAAAAAGCTTAGAGTTTTTAATTTAAGATTTTATTATTTTAAAATTTAATTGATTTAATATATTATAATAAATTTTATAAATTTTAAATAAGTCATTCTAATAAGCCTAATAAACTTTTTATTAAGTTAAAACTTGACTATTTAATTAATTAAACTTTTTAAAAAGTTTAAATTAAGCCTATTAATTAAATAAGTCAGACCGTAGGTTTCTACTTGACACTTTAGCTTACTTTTATTCTTACGCACAGGCAAAGGCAGAATTTTATAGTGACTATTAATATGACATCATCAAGATTGAATGCTATATCTCATGTGAGAAGTTTAGCCTATTTTTATTCCTACACATAGGCAAAGGCAGAATTTTGTAGTGGCATGACATCATAAAGATTTGCATGCTATATCTCATGTGAGAAGTTTAGCCTATTTTTATCCCTACACATAGGCAAAGGCAGTTTTTATTTCTTGATGTTAGCAATATATAGTGGTCAAATAGGATCATTTTCTATCATGTGGAAATTAGAATTAATTTCCGTTTATCTACTTTTATCTATGTGTGGGGGAGGGGAGAAGAAACGTTTGTATTCAGCTACAAAGTTTATTTTGTACACGGCAGGAAGTTCCATTTTTTTATTAATGGGAATTTTGCTATGGGTTTATAAATATGGCATCATCAAGATTGCATGCTATATATCATGTGAGAAGTGATATTGACAATTACTGGAGTTACTGTGAGCAGCAGGAAGAAGAATGCAATCTCACGTAGTGAGGGGCTGAGAGAAAGCTTAAGGTAGATTTGAGAATGCACCCTTACAGAATTTACTATGTCAATAAATTAGTTCTTTCAAGATTTAATATAGCACTATTTTTTTTGTTTTTAAGAAAAAAAATAGAATAATGATAAAAATATTTGAAAAATTAATTTAATAATTAAAATTTGTAGAAAATAATTATACATATAACTTTAAAGAGTTAAATTGATGATTATGTCTTTTACTATTGTTATAGTCAATGAACCAACAATAAATCTGATTCCATTCAACTTATAAGGAATAAAGAGTTCTGTTATGGTTTCATTCAACAAGAATTTGCAAAATAGTGTTTTTCCAATAAAATTGATAATGGGTGGTGTAATCACTGACTCTATCTCGTAACTTACATTATCTTTTGTAATCATTTCTTATCTGTTGTAATAAAGCGAATAGTTAAAAAATATATTTTTAACAAACTTTTTCAAATACATTACAAATTTTTAGTTTAAATTCATCAAAAATATTAATGAAAATTATTAAATTAAAAGTAAAACTTATATAATTTTTTAATAAGTTTTGTCAATAACAAATGGATTGTTGTTGAAATTTCTAATAATAAATTTTATTTATCTCTTTCAAGTTGTTGTATTAGCTTTCCAAATTGTAAATATAAATTCGCTTGTAACCTTCTCGTTGTGAAATAGTGAAAATACATTTCCCTTAACTTTTATAGTGTAATATTAAACGATATAAAAAAAGTAGAAATAAAAATATTTGCATGCTATATTACATATATTATCAATTTTTTTATGTTTAAATAATGTTATGATTTTCTATTATATAAAGTGTTTACAAACAAACCATTCTATATTTTCCAGTTTTGGTAACATTAAATAAAAAATATTAAACGATCAAAATCACATATCAAATATAGTAAAAAAATTTAAAAGCATACTTAAGTCTTTTAAAAAATTATGATCTTTTCAAAATAAATACATATATTTTTATTATTTAAAATAAGGATTTTTCTAATAAAAAGATTTAATTAAAAATAAATAGCATAGCCAATGGAGAGGATCCTAATCCCACACGTGCCTCCAAGTGCTCAAGTGCCTATCATTATTGTTCTTAAAATAGAGACCCCAACATAAGCCATGGGAATTAAGTAGAGCTCCCACTTGAGTGGACAACCACCAAAACAAAAACGAACGTGATTTCTTTCCTCTTCACCTTTCTTTTCATTCCTAATTGTCATCCAAAAAACAAATGCAAAAGTAATCTCTTATTCTTTCATCTTTCCTCATATTTCTCACTTTCAATTTATCTATCATCCAAACTATATACTCTATTCCATTCAATTTTTGCAAGCAAAGCTCAATGACTGTTGGACGCATAAAAACTCAGGTAATGGCATATAAGTGACACATGAAAGAAGGCTCTGTATAATGTTGTGATTGAGTATAACAGCAAGTGCAACCTGTGACAATATTAGAAGCAGTGGTGATTAAAGAATGGAAGGGAAAGACGTGACATTTCAATTAAACGAAACAAAAGATATAACATGCTATTCACCAGTTATGGTAACAACAAATGGGATATGGCAAAGTGATAACCCTTTTAACTATGCTCTCCCCGTCTTCATCCTCCAAATAATTTTAGTTGTGACTGTCACCCGTTTATTCGTCTTCATACTCAAGCCTGTTCGTCAGCCACGTGTCATTGCTGAAATCATGGTTAGTCCCTCTACCATTACAAAGTTTTCATCGCATGCAATTAGTATATATGTAAACACACATATATATAACAAAAATAAAAAATCATAACTAATGTTATGTTGTTACATGCATGCATGCATGCATGTTGGTAGGGAGGCATAGTGTTGGGTCCTTCGGTTCTTGGACGAAACAAAGCATTTTCTGAAGCAGTGTTTCCTCTAAGAAGTGTGATCATAACAGAAGCAATGGCAAATATTGGTCTTCTTTTGTTTACCTTCTTGGTGGGAGTGGGAATGGACACTTCTTCATTAAAACGCATTGGTAGAAAAGCAGTGACAATAGCATTTGCTGGTATGGTCTTGCCTTTTGCAATTGGAGGTGTCTTCTCTTTCTTTTTCATCAAACTCACTGATAATGACAAGAACAAAGGTGCTTACATCATATTCCTTGGTGTTGTTCTCTCTATCACTGCATTTCCTGTTCTTGCTAGAATCCTTGCAGAGCTCAAACTCGTCAACACAGAGATTGGACGAGTTGCTCTTTCATCTGCAATCATTAATGACATGTTTTCTTGGGTGCTCTTGGCTATATCCATTACTATGATAGAGCATGAAAAACCTTCTTTGACTTCCTTGATGATTTTATTGTCAAGTGCAGCATTTGTGGCTTTTAATATTTTTGCTGTGAGGCCTATGATCTTATGGATAATAAGGAACACCCCAGAAGGTGAAACATTCAGTGATTTCCATATTTGTATGATATTAGCTGGTGTCATGATCTCAGGTTTCATCACTGATGCTATTGGAACCCATTCAATTTTGGGAGCTTTTATATTTGGTTTGACAATCCCAAATGGGCCACTTGGACTTGCACTTGCTGAAAGGCTTGAAGACTTTAGTTCAGGACTTCTGCTCCCTCTATTTTTTGCAAATAGTGGGCTAAAGACTGATTTAAGACTCATCAAAGGGATCAATGCATGGGTAATTTTGATCTTGCTTGTTGTTCTATCTTGCGTTGGCAAAGTCGTTGGAACTTTAGCCGTTGCAGTCACTTATCAAATGTCAATTAGTGAAGGAGCAGTCCTTGGCTTGCTCATGAACACAAAAGGCCTTGTTGAAGTTATCGTCCTTAACATTGGCAAGGACCAGAAGGTACTAGCCGATTTACAATACTTGAGTACTTGTGCTAATATCAGGCACATAATATAAAAATGTTCGTGTTTATTTAACTAATAGCTTAAGTTTTGGGGATTAAATATTCATGACATAATGAAAGCCTCTATGACTCTAGTCAGCTTGATTCCCTGCCCCATTCTTCTAATAAAATTTAACTTCAATAAAAGGTAAGTAGCAAAAAGGTGCTTTTGCATGTTGAGTGTGTTAGAAATGTAATATAAAATCGTTCTCATGTCTTCATCGAATAATTTATCAAGTTATTGGGATTTTTGTTCACAATAATTGTTGGTCAATCACAATTTTTCTTTCAGGTTTTGACAGAAGAATCATTTGCATCCATGATGATTATAACAGTACTAATGACCGGAATAATTGTACCTGGGATATCATTTATATATAAACCATCAAAGGGGCTCATATCATACAAAAGAAGAACGATTCAGATGTCAAAAACAGATGCAGAGTTTAGAATTCTTGGGTGTATCCATACCCCTAGAAATGTGCCAACAATAATTAACCTCCTTGAAGCCTCAAATCCGACAAAGAAGTCCCCGATATGCATTTATGTGGTCCACTTGGTGGAACTTACTGGTCGAACATCTGCAATGCTCGTTGTTCATAACCCTACAAAATCAGACCACAACGGCTTTAATAGAACTCAAGCTCAAACAAACCATATAATCAACGCCTTTGAAAACTATGAGCAACATGCTGATTACATCTCTATCCAGCCCTTGACTGCAGTGTCCCCTTATTCCACAATGCATGAGGACATATGCAACTTGGCTCGAGACAAGCTTGTTGCCTTAATAATCATTCCTTTTCATAAACAACAAACAGTTGATGGTGCAATGGAAGCTACAAACACTGCATTTCGCAATGTAAACCAAAATGTACTAAACTATGCACCTTGCTCAGTTGGGATTCTAGTAGATAGAGGCTTAAATGGCTCTAACCATTTGGCTTCAGATCAATTGTCTCATCATGTAGCTGTGTTGTTTTTTGGAGGACCTGATGACAGAGAAGCATTGAGCTATGGATGGAGGATGTCAGAACATCCAGGGATAAACCTCACTGTGATGCGTTTTGTTTCAGGGGAAGAAGTGACGCATCATAGTGTCCACCCAAATGAACCAAAGGAATTGAGAGTGGAAACAGATAAGGATATAGAGAAGCAAATTGATGAAAAGCTTATACATTGGTTTAGAATGAGTCATGTAGATGATGATTCAGTTACTTTTGTTGAGAAGATTGTTAACAATGGGGAGCAAACAGTGGCAGCAATAAGGTCAATGGATGATGTTCACGACCTTTTCATAGTTGGTAGAGGCCAAGGAATGATATCACCACTCACTGCAGGACTTACTGATTGGAGTGAATGTCCAGAGTTAGGAGCAATTGGGGATTTTTTAGCTTCATCAGATTTTGCAGCCACTGCTTCAGTGTTGGTAGTGCAACAATATGTTGGCGCAGAATTAGAAGAAGATGGATTTGTAACAACACCAAACAATGCAATGGCTACAAATGAAGAATATGTCAGTCAGATTAACCATCATTCAGCAACAAGAATGGGACATAATCTGTGCAATACAGAACACTTGAGTTCTCAGTGACCTCTGTTGATGCCTAATAAAGTCTTCCAATACAAACTTGGCAGTATATAAGGTAATTATCGCTCGAATTTGAGTACTGCGCACAACAATAACTTATGATGTTAGATATGTGTAAAGGTAATAAGAGGTTTACCTAATGTTCTTTATACATATTGCAAAATAGAATTTCTTTCCTTTATTTTATCTTTTGGGTGTCTTGTATTGTAACATAGGACATTAATATGTGTAATTAGCCTCTTGTTATCTTAATATCGTTCTAGGTTCAGATCAAAACACATTTGATTGGAGTAAAAGGTATATAATTGCTCTGGGAATAGCTGATGATATGATTTGTCCGTGTGAGAGTTGTCACATGCTAATCATTCGTAGAGATATTAGGTAGAGAATATTCTACTCACTGAAAATTTTGAGCCATAGGTTATTATTAAGCTTTATTAAAGAGAACGATTAAAGAATTCATTTGCAGTTTTACTTTGATCCATAAAACTTAAAGACTCCATATATGTCCTTATTTGATGAGAGTTCTATGGAATTATGAGTGAAAGAATGTAGCCTTTTGGATTTATGTTTCTTTTGCACATTCCATGGTTGTGCCACCATTGTGGTTAGGCTAACTGACAAGTTGGTGTAGTTTATAAAAAAGATTTGAGTGAAATTAGCTGATAAATATGAAGGCTTATCTGTATTGTACATTTGTAAAACCAATACCTTGCATTGACGAGTTATCTAATATGTTGTACACATGAAATGGCCATTTACAACTTAATAAATACCAATCCAGGTTGTATATATAGTATTGTTTTTCTAAAATCACATTCCTTTTGTTAACAGATTTTGTAGCAAAATCACTCTGGTTCCTTGGAATTTACCTTTATACTTCTATGATACTAGAGATGCTAACAAGAATTAAGAAAAAGGGAGAGAGGTAAAGAACATAGTGAAAAGAAAAATAGTAATAAGGTTGGAGAATTTGTGTAATTTCATAAAAGAACGATCATATTTTCTTTGATGCTACAGGTTGTAACAATGCTATGAGGTGATGATTGTGTACTCGAATCAACAAAAGCATGCCGAAGGAGGCCTCTCCAAAGAACATACTCAAAGAGCTATTGGATGTGAAAGAACACAATAAAGTATCTAAAATCTCAATCATCTTAAGTAGGTTGTCGTAAGAGCTAAGGACATTATTAATTTAATTTTAGTACTAAAAAGACTCATAGAAGTGTAAAGAATTTCTTGGAAATGATCTTTTTCAGACAAACTTTTAAGAATGTTTGGAAGTACATTGAAATTATTGTACTCAAACTTACACTAAGTCAAAACATAGATCTGAAAGTGGTTCCGTTTTGAATTAGAGAGCGTTTAAAATTGCTCTAAAATCTTTAGCTCTCTGATGTATTATATTTAAGAAAACGGTTAAACAACTGCTCTCAAATGTTAAGATTAGAGAGTGGTTCCACGCCGAAACCGCTCTCCAAAGTATAGGTGTAAGATTAGAGAACTGTGTTTCACGTAAAACCGCTCTCCAAAATATAGATGTAGACCATGAATCTGAAATTTAAAATTAATTTCTTTTTGAATTTTCTATTGCAAAGTAAAATTAATTTATTATTATGTTTAAATCAAAATTTGAAATTGACTTCTTTGTGATTTTTTTTTATTTTTATCACAAATCAAAATTGAATCTTGAGTTTATACATTTAGTGTTAACCAAACAGTCTATATCTGCATGAACTAAACACAAGTAAGTAGAGAACACTACTAGAAAAGTGCTGATTACAGACGGATATTACAGACAGATATTTATCCATCTGTAATACAGACGGATTTACAGACGAATTTATGATTTTTATTTTTTTTTAAATTTTTTGAAAAATCTATCTGTAATATCCGTCTGTAATTTGCCCGCCATTTGACGTGAAACAGTATAGACAGGAATTACAGACAGATTTTTTCGTCTATAATTTGAAAAAAGGAGGGAAATTTGGAGCGGGAGTTACAGACAAATTTTTTTGTCTGTAAATATTGTCCTTTTTTAACTGACTTTCCATGTGGCAATTTACAGACCAAAAAATCTGTCTGTAAATGGACTTGACAAATTTACAAACAGAAAAATCCGTCTGTAACTGGATCTTTAAAATGTACCGTTTCATTAAATAATTTATAGACGGATTTTTCCGTCTGTAATGTCTGAAACCCATAATTCGCGCCTCCCCCTTCCCCTTTCTCATTTTTCATAAATCTCTCTCTCGCCTCTCTCTGTCTCTCTCTCAAGGAACTTCGGTTTTTTGGCCTTTGCGAGTGATTGGAGTATCCATTTGAAGGATAATTTGCATAATTGTGTTCCTGTTACGATACTCTAACTTTTAATCGTTTTACTTTTTTATTTTTGATGTATTTTAGAGACTTAAAATTTCTAAGATAGAGTTGTAGGATTGGAGATTGTATGACTGGGAGAAGGGTGTAGAGGTCCTTCTCCGAACCTGATTATTGTGTGATGTTGGATTGTTTGTATTTGCGGAGTTTGTAGAATATGCATGTTGTGGAGTTATAAGGGGATGTGCTCTAGAACGATTTAAGATTGTAATGTGTATGTTTTTTATGCATTGGAAGAAGTGGGCGGTTACATAATATATAGATTATGTGTAAAGAAAATTTAGATTTTTGTATTAAGTACGTGTAAACAAATGTAAGGAAATATTAATATATTAGGGAAGATTCTGCCAAAATTTACATTAGAAATTTGTTGTATTAAGTAAAAATATTCATATAGAAAAAAATTCATATATTAGGGGAGATTCTACCAAAATTTATATTAGAAATTTGTTGTATTAAGTGTAAACAAATATAGGAAAATATTCATATATTAGGAGGGATTCTGTCAAAATTTACATTCGATACATGTTTTATTAAGTGTAAACAAATATAATAAAATATTCATGTATTAGAGAAGATTTTGCCAAAATTTACATTAGAAATTTGTGTAATGTAAAATAAAAGGTTGATACAATATTGTGTATTTGTGTATTTGGTCTCTAAACATGTATTATATTTGTTTCAGATATGGCAGGTAAAGGTAAGAAAGGTGTTACTCAGGGTCCTAATCGTTAACGTTAATAAGATGATTTTTAACGTTAATAAAGATAAAAAGAAAGAAAGATAATGAATGATTCATCATTAACAAAGAGAAAAAGAAAAAAGAGAGAATGAAGAAGTATCTACAGATGTAAAAAAAAAAAACTAATTTGGCTAACAGGGAAGATGAAGATAACATAAGAGAGTAGAGAAAATGAACATAACTTATAGCAAAAAAGAGTAACTTTGTTAGTTAAGAAGAAGAAATGTGTTGAACATATTTCATTTATAAACGACCTTAATAACTTTAGAGATCTTTATTAACCACTCTAAAAAAATAAGCTTATATGTGACTTTAGATAGTGGTTAATAAAAAATAACTTTCAGAAATATATATTTGAGAGCTGTTAATATAGAATCACTTTTAAATATATAGTTATAAAGTAATTTTTATTAATCGTTATCTAACTCATTTCTAGTGTAGTGTTAGAACGATGAGCTCCATTAAATTTAATTACAAAAAATTAAGCGTACGTACATTTACTTGGATTCTTATGTCGGCAGCGTTGAATTTTTTTGAATAGGTCGTAGTGATTCTCTTATATTTATCAAAATGTCGTTCTAGAGTGCTTATATGTTTGTATATGAATAGCAAAAGGTGGTTAAACAACAAGGGCTGAATGTATAGAAATTTGCCATCAAAAGTACAGGTGGGAATATGATTCAATGTGTCATGTTAATCCGCATAACTCATTAAATTTAGTTCTGCATTTTAAAACGACTTACGTGGCAGCCAAACAACTTGCCCGTTCAACAAAAATAAATAATTTTTAAAAATATCTTTTACACATAAATTTAATAAATATTAAAAATTAAATTATAATATTAATAAAATTATTTATTTATGTAAGTTAAAATATAATTATATTTATATATTTTGTTTATTTTATATAATTTTAACATTTTAAATATTTAAGTGGGTCATCGGCTAATTCACTAACTTGTTAATAAAATGGGTTAGGCTGATGTTTTCAAGCCCAACCTATTTTTTTTTATGGGTTAATGATGGAATAGTGTAAAACGAGACGAGTTGACTTGTTTTACTATTTTTATTAAAAAGTAATTTTTTTTTTCTGAAGAAGAGGGCAACATGCCTAATACACACAAAACTACGCTACAGGTCTAGAAAAATCAGTCCCACAAGAATCCAAACTCAGAAAAGGGAGTAGGAATAAGGAGGGATTAAAAGACTGATAATAGGGAGAAAGCAACTCTAAACTTAGTTTGGCTAGAGAATTAGCACAAGAATTTGCTTCTCTGCAAACATAAGATAACCTCACAGACCAAATAGCTTTCAAAGTATTTCTAATACTACAAATTAGCAGATAAAGGGGGTGAAAATATGGCTGCAACTTCAAGATAAGGTCAATAACGACCATTGAATCTGATTCTATCCAAATAATAGGTGGATTAAGTTGAGCCACTAGTTGGATGCCAAAATATAAACTCCAAAGCTCAGCAGCCATAGGGGAGCAAAAATCAATTCTACTATAGAAACCCATAATACATCTTCCTTTGGCATCTGTGATCAACCCCCACAGGTAGCAATTCTCGCAGCTCTAGAACTGTCTCCATCAACATTTAATTTTAGTTGATTAGTGGGAGGAGGAGTCCATCTCATAGCACAATGGTACCTTAATTAATTAGGATAGTAGGAAGACTTTTTCCTGCAACACAAGGTATAATAATCTGCATCAAACAAGGTTTTTACAACAACATTATCAGGTTTGGTAGACTTTTTATTAAAAATCCAATCATTTTTATCCTTCTATAAATACCAAATCACAATACCAAAAATAGACTTCCAATTTTGAAATCCATTATGATTAGAAGAAGATAGGTTATTTATTAACCAGATAGACAGC